CCCCATGTACAGTGCTTTATCAAACAACAGACAAAGCTGTTTCATTTTTTCTGAAAGAATATCTGATTCTGCACACACGACATGTTGGATAAACCCCAGATTCTGAGTGTTCAGGAGTTTGCAGTGTGTCTCAGCTGCTGTTTGCGATGAGACTCAGACAGGAAGTGGTCTTCACGTCTCGTCCAGCCCATCGTGTGCCGATAAAACTTACAGAAAAGTTCTTCTCCAGATAAATGAAGAACCGCTGGAACATTGTTCTGTCCTAAACGTTACCCTAAAGCCGCTTCATACATATAGAACGACACTTTTGTTTTAGCGAGACGCGCATCGCAACTTGGGAGAGGACAACTCGCATGCCTGTTAACAGGTAACAGCAGGTACAGGAAGAGGATGGTGAGATGGAGGAAGTTCAGGTGAGGTCTGAAATTAGTTTAGTGAAATATGTATTAGCTTGTTGATGCTTTTAAACATTTTTTATCATGAGAAGAACTGGTTCATTGAAGAGAGAGGAGGACAGGTGGAGCTTCAGGATGTGAGGTCCTGTTTAAAAACCATTTTAATTATAATAGATCCAGAAGAGGACTGATGTCAGGTTGATTTGTTTTATTATTTCCACAGTCATAAGGGTTTGGGTTAGGTTGTGATTAGGTTGTCAGCTGCAGAACAGCGCCCCACTATAGAGTTCTGTACATTTATCTGGTGGAATGCTTCTCCATAGTGATCAATACGTGGATTTTTTTCTTGTTTAGTTTAAAATGAGCCATCTTTAGTCTCAGGAGCTGTACCTCATCTCTGAAGCCATTTTTTTATGTTTAGCAGCAGCAATGCAGTGACTGCACAAAGGAGACAAGAGGAGAGGAGGTACAGAGCTGGAGCTCTTGAAATAAATTAGTGAAAACTTTTACTGTAAGTTTTACTGTAGGTTGTGTTGTAAACAGAGCTGACAGAATATGAGATGTAATGCATACATCTGTAAATCAGTTGTATGCAAAAACCTTAACTGATACTTTTTTAGCTTCTGTAAGTTACTTACTGTACATGTTGATGACATGCAGGGACATCAGAGGCAGGAAGTCAGTGAGGGAGAGACAGGAGCAGACCAACAGGTAAGAGAGAGGAACACAGAACAGATATTTTATATTAGAAAATCTTCTGATGGCAATAATATTTGTAAATATTGCAATGATGTTGTCAGATGTGATCCATGTCTTTTTTTCTTTCCTCTCTTTCTAATCTGTACTTCCTATTTCATGTTACTTTTTAGTATTTTTGGTCAGGTGTGAGCTTTTGCTGCCATGAGACCCTGTCCTACTGGCTAAGTATTTCATTAGCATGAAAAATACAACTTCAAACCTCTTCAAGTACATTAGTCAACAATTATTGTGCATCAAGAAGTCCTTTGTCGTATGAATATTGTGCACACTGACGTTGTCATGACAATATATTTGTTATGTTGTTCAATCCTATTTGACTCGAAATATTTTGTTGGGTGGTGTACCCACATCACCGCTTTTCCAAGAAAAGATGCAGTAGCATTTTGTGCATGCTTTGCAGTGTACAGTTGATTTATTTCTGCTCAGACTATGTACAAGTATGTCAGGTTTCCAATATTATGTGTCCCCTCTCAATAGTAAACTCATTCCTACACCCTTGGCTTCAGGTTAGTTAACTCAGAAACACCACAAGCAGAGGATGCATTGAAAAATATGTATTTCAAACTATAAGAAAACTTATACTAGAACTAATAAAAACTAAACTAAACTAAACTAAACTAAAACCAAGCATTAAACAAACAATTAAAACTAACAAAAACTAGC